ATGTCATTTTATTCGTCCAGCTTGATACCGGCTCTGGCCGTCCATTTTTCAAATATGAAAATGATTTTATATTCCATGTCGAGCAGTATCGAAGAGGAACCGGCACACTTAACCTTGGAGCTGGCCCTTATACGTCGCAATAATGAGATGAAAATAAATTGTTAATATAGTCTTTATGTCATTTTATTCGTCCAGCTTGATGCCGGCACTGGCCGTCCATTTTTCAAGTATGAAAATGATTTTATATTCCATGTCGAGCAGTATCGAAGAGGAACCGGCACCCTCAACCTTGGAGCTGGCCCTTATACGTCGCAATAATGAGATGAAAATAAATTGTTAATATAGTCTTTATGTCATTTTATTCGTCCAGCGTGATGCCGGCTCTGGCCGTCCATTTTTCAAATATGAAAATGATTTTATATTCCATGTCGAGCAGTATCGAAGAGGAACCGGCACACTAAATAACCTTGGAGCTGGCCCTTATACGTCGCAATAATGAGATGAAAAAAATTGTTAATATAGTCTTTATGTCATTTTATTCGTCCAGCGTGATGCCGGCTCTGGCCGTCCATTTTACAAATATGAAAATGATTTTATATTCCATGTCGAGCAGTATCGAAGAGAAACCGGCACACTTAACCTTGGAGCTGGCCCTTATACGTCGCAATAATGAGATGAAAAAAATTGTTAATATAGTCTTTATGTAATTTTATTCGTCCAGCGTGATGCCGGCTCTGGCCGTCCATTTTTCAAATATGAAAATGATTTTATATTCCATGTCGAGCAGTATCGAAGAGGAACCGGCACACTCAACCTTGGAGCTGGCCCTTATACGTCGCAATAATGAGATGAAACAAATTGTGAATATAGTCTTTATGTCATTTTATTCGTCCAGCTTGATGCCGGCTCTGGCCGTCCATTTTTCAAATATGAAAATGATTTTATATTCCATGTCGAGCAGTATCGAAGAGGAACCGGCACACTTAACCTTGGAGCTGGCCCTTATACGTCGCAATAATGAGATGAAAAAAATTGTTAATATAGTCTTTATGTCATTTTATTCGTCCACCTTGATGCTGGCACTGGCCGTCCATTTTTCAAGTATGAAAATGATTTTATATTTCATGTCCAGCAGTATCGAAGAGGAATCCTTAACCTTGGAGCGGGCCCTTATATGTCGAAATAATGAGACAGAAAAGTTGTCTACATTGTGTTTGTATCCCTTTTTTCGTCTAGCTTGATGAAGGCGTTGGACACCTTATTTTACGAGTGTGATGATGATTCAAACAACCAATCAGGTAATCCTCGTATTCAATACGGCATACTGATTGTTTTGTCAAAATCCACAAATCACTCCGTATGTCAGTAACGAAGCGGTTTTGGACATTTGTAAATTGGATTTTGCAATCATATTGACAGTCTCTATATCCTCATAACTCTGTATATCCTTTTATTCGTTCTGATCGCCCTCCTTACACCTTGGAGCTGGTTTTCATGCTGATAGTGAGCGCCCACTTTTTTCTAAAGAAAAATATCATATTCCGAGTGGTATAGAAATCATCAATTCAGTATTCGGAATCATGAACCTGAAATGAGAAGACGAAAATAATCAGTCTCGTACTCTTTTTGCCAATTTCAGAAATTGTTTCGAGTTTGAGTTCCATCAAAAATTATATTTCAATCAATCTGAATAATTCAAATTTCATCAATTGAACCACATGGATCGCTTAGTTATATCCATTTTCCTGTAAACAATGAATCATAAAGTGATCAAACATCCGAAAAGATACTATAAACGTGTGAATCGAAATCTGTGGAAAAGATTGACCGTGGTGGAAAAAAGCCGCGTGGAGCTGGCCGGCCGGGAGCTAACATGACCGCGGTTTTTTCCACGAGTATCGTAACTGTGAACATCTTGGAGGGTTTTATATTGATTTATCCTACTTTTCACATACACTGAGCATGCAAAAATATATACTGAGAGAACGGTGAGTAGATTATATTTAATAAATAGCTCTTTGCATGAGTGCCTCCGAGGTACCTACCCTCGCAATTTGCCGGATTAAGTTTTTTTGCGATATGAATACTGCTTCAATATTCTGTGAATTACCCCAACAGATCACGCCATACGATAGCTTCAAGTAGCATTGGCCATAGTAGAGCATGAGTAAAGTGGAATCACTGACATGCGGTCTGAGTTTTCGAAACAAAAAAGAAAGAGAATTCAAGGCTTTACATAATGCCTCAGTATGTGACACCCAGCTCAGTTTGGAGTCGAGGTGAATGCCCAAAAACTTCGTACTATTCAATTTTTGTTTCCGAAATGAATGATAATATGAGATTTTTCATTATTTATACTTAGACAATTCTGCTTTGACCATTCATTCATTTTAGACGTTATATTTTGGGAGTGTTCTATAGTTGTTATGACGGCCTAGTCCGAGAAGTATACGTACTTCCCGGACTAGGACTGGAAGTATCACATCGTTGTCGTCACTGTAACTATGAAAATCTTGGTAGATATGGTTTTGACAAATGCAGATGATGATTACCATAGCAACGAAATATCGGCTGACAGCTATTTGACATGAAATTAGTTGACATTTAGATTTTTGAAAGCTGCTGCGATAGTGAATTTGGAAATGTCTATATACGAAATTTACAATGTAACAGTTAGTACGTCAGAAACTCGAGCGAATTATTGCTTTTCCAGTAGTAAATGACACGTTGAAATGAATGAGACCATGATCAGCTCGATAGGACAGATAGTTTCCGAGATATCGGCGCTCAAAGTCAGCTTTTCGCTTTCATTGTCTATAGGTGCACTCCGGTAAGCTACTACGTCTCAATTATCCGAAATTCACGAATTTCCACCACAGATTCGTTTATTTCGACATCGAATTAGTCCATGTGAATTTTTTCAGATTTTTAATAGGCCAAATAAAAATTTCCATTTCCCCCCCTGAGACTTCTGTACGATATAGTCAACGAGCTATCTTCGGACGGCCGAAAGTGCCAGAAAACGGTAGAAATTCTCGCGAATTATTGCTTTCCTAGTAGAAAATGACACGCTGAATCGAATGAGACCATGATCAGTCCGATAGGACAGATAGTTCTCGAGATATCGGCGCTAAAAGGCAGCTTTCCGATTTCATTGCCAATAGGTGCACTCCGGTAGGCTACTACGTCTCAATTTTTTAAAATTTACGAATTTTCACCACAGATTCGTTCATTACGACATCAAATTAGTCTATTTGAATTTTTTCAGATTTTTAATAGGTCAAATAAAAATTTTCATTTTCCTTCCCGAGACTTCAGTATGATATAGTCACCGAGCTATCTTCGGACGGCCGAAAGTGCCAGAAAACGTCAGAAACTCACGCGAATTATTGCTTTTCCAGTAGTAAATGACACGTTGAATCGAATGAGACCATGATCAGTCCGATAGGACAGATAGTTTTTGAGATATCGGCGCTAAAAGGCAGCCTTCCGATTTCATCATTGCCAATAGGTGCACTCCGGTAGGCTACTACGTCTCAATTTTCCAAAATTCACGAATTTTCACCACAGATTCATTAATTACGACATCGAATTAGTCTTTGTGAATTTTTTCAGATTTTCAATAGGTCAAATAAAAAATTTCATTTTCCTTCCTGAGACTTCAGTACGATATAGTCAACGAGCTATCTTCGGACGGCCGAAAGTGCCAGAAAACGGTAGAAATTCACGCGAATTATTTCTTCACTAGTAGAAAATGACACGCTGAATCGAATGAGACCATTTTCAGTCCGATAGGACAAATAGTTTTCGAGATATCGGCGCTAAAAGGCAACTTGTTGTTGTTGTTCTTTATTACCCCAAGAAACATACTTGTTTATAATAGGGATACATAAACATATGATATATATATATATATATATATATAAAACAATAAAAAAAAAAAAAACTAATTAACAAGTTATGTCAATATAACATAATAATTAAAATAAAACCATTCCAAGTATTCAAATGAGAATAAATTGCTCCGTTTATTGTGTCATGAGTATATATTTTTTCATATTGACTTTGAATCTTGTTTCATCATCAATATGTTTCAAATCATAAGGTAATGAATTATATAAAATGATTCCGTTGTAGAATACTGATTGTTTGCCAATGATGGAGTTATATGGGTTTGCTATTAATGAATTCAACTGTCTCGTTGCATGAGTATGAATTGTATTTACTTCAGTAGGCTACTACGTACTAGATTGTATAGGTATACAGTTTTTGAATTTTTCAATTATCTTGTCAAATAAGGGAGATATTGGAACACCCGGTATATTTTTAAATTGAAATTATTCACTTAGTTTTGCAACGCAATATAATCGACCATCAAGGGAGTAGCTACCTAGTATAATGAGTTAATAGTTGATGAATGAGTTTGGAATTTCCAAATCTCTTTGATAACAATATGAGATGGAAAAAAATTACACGTGTAGCACGTCTATATAGCTTATATGCTCCTAACAAAACAATTAATAGGTAGTAGTTTATCGTATCTTGAGTTTGTTATTGTGAAATATCAAGGTCATGTAGAGATTTTGCAACATTAAAATATGCAAATTGGTGAACTAATAGCTCACCTCTCTCACGAATTCATTGGGATGTGAGAAATTATGTAGAAAAATTCGTCGCATTATTTTTTTCTTTAGAACAGTCAGAATGTCTTGGTTATGGTTAGATTATCGTTAGATTGATTATTTACGGATCATGGCTGATCAGCAACATGCAAGAAATTAGTAGATTATGTAATAGAGTTATTTTTCGACAATCAACTTCTCTTGAAAATATTACTATAGGCTCTATATTAGTTCATCTGAAATAGAAACAAGCAGAAAAAAAGTATTTTGATTTTTGAACAAAACAGGCAGAGAATGGAGATATGGAAAGTTCTGATAACCATTGAGCAAAAATATAAATAAATAAAGAGTAAAGAGAAAAAGCATTAGAGAGTTTACCCTTTGCCAGTATCATAGCCCCATTTATAAGAAAGAGGTCCATCATGCCCAGCCATGTGAAACTGAAGCCTTTCCCCAGCAGGAGAGCCTTGCGAAGCAGCAGGAATGCCTAAAGAAGACGTCAGCTGCTCGCTCAGGCCTTTTTCGAAATTAGCCTCTTCAGCTTGTCCCTCTAAATCAGAGGAGGCAGGAACGGGATCTTCAAGAGGTTTCTTTGGTATTTCCTGCTATCAGATTTAAACTATTCCAAAACCCTATTATTCGGAAGCATGACAAATTCATACCTGGATAAGCTTCCTGTTCTCTTTCTTGTTAAGCTGATCCACAACCTTCTGCAAGTTCCTCTGTCTCTGCACATACACTTCCTCATCGATAGGCTGCAACAGCAACTCCTGCTTAGGCTTCGAAGCATAAGGCTTCAGCTTCAAGTGCACCTCCTTGTTGAATTTCTTGGGAAACTGCTTGGTAGGGACCTCTTGCTTGGTGAGCACTGCAGGCACTTCGTAATAGAACTTGGGGTTGCTATCGGGGTTCCAGGCCCCTTCAGCTGGGGCTATGAGCTCCTGGTTGGGAATGGGCACTTGGTAATAGTCTGGTTCTTGGTCTTCTCTTGGGGCTACAAGGAGGGTTTGAGGTTCGGGGGCGTAAAAAGGGACTGGGTTGGGTTCTGCTCGGGGTAGTTGGAAGGTGAGCGGGGTTTCGTAAAGTTGGTACGAGTCTGGTTGGAGTGGAGGATGAATGCCTTCCTGGGAGGCTATGGTTGTCGTGACTGGATGAGAGGTGGCTATGGAAGCTATAGCGATTACTGTCACCTGCAATACAGACATTTCTTGGGATTATTTTTAACAATAGACGTGATATTGTTTTCAAGTATTGTGTTCTCGATTTTTGAACTTTAAAGGCGATACCCGAATAGAGAGAGTTGCAGTTCTAGGAATGGAGTGTTGAATTGGATTTGACATTCACACTTAGGATTGTGTAAGACTATAAGTGAATGATTTGCAATATTGTTTAACAGCTTTGACAGTTTTTAGGCGAGTCTCATCCATTTATGTAAGTATGCCCGCTTTGAAGTGTTGATTTAAGTAATGTGTCGATGCAAATATAGCTCAATAAAGTACCAACTTGTAATGTTCGATTCATTCGATAATTTACATAATGATATTTCGCAAAAGGCGGCATATTCTTTCTTTATGTAATTTTTATATGATTCAAACCAAGTACAGTAGGTATCACAAATTTTATCATATGCTGCATGCATGATATAGAGTTTTCAGAATTCATTCGGCAAAACTATTTTTCTTTTCTTTCCATGATATTGAGGAGAAGGTTTTAGTTCTTGAATAAAAAATATCAGTCGCCATTTCCAATGGGATAATAGTGTGTGATATAAGTGAGATATTTATATTTACAGGTGTGGATTTGATATAATATGTGGTCTAAGCTGGTAGGTATATAGATTGATAGAGCAAGGTTAACTCAGATGAAATGAGTATGTACTTTGTATACCTATACATACCACCGTGCTCGTGAAAATACTTAACAAAGATCAAGTAGGAAATGATGATGAGTTTGCAAGTATAATATCTCCTGCATTTAACAATACAGGAAATGAATTCGATTAAAACAATGGGGAAATAATGAATCATTACCTATACCTTCTATACCTATAGATATATCGATACAAAACATATTTTAGTAAAAAAAATATTGCTTGGCTAAGGGTGTAATTCAATTCTCTATACTTTCGAGACTGATGATAGTTTTTCTAAAAGAAATATATTGCATAATCGCTTTCAATTAGTATATGTATTTCATAAATAATACCTTTATACCTCGCCAATTGTTGATTTTTTGCCTGAATTATTTCCAGCTCACTGCAGATTTTTAATAGTCCCTTGTTTAGTGAATTATGGAGTCAATTTATTTATTCGTTATTTGAAATGAGTTTTCGCAGGATCTAATAAAACATATATAGGATGTCTGAAAAGTCTGCGAACGGTGAAATATCTCGAGAAATAGTTGTCAAATAAAACAAAATAAAACAGTGTTTATAGTTGTCCAAAAAAACCCTTCTCCTCAATTTATAGTACCAGATTCAACTCAGTGATGTCAGTAGTAATACATATCCCAGATGGGTCTATTTTCAATTTTCAAAAATCAATGATGGATAGATACCTAGCTGACCAAATGATGTGGTAATATTCGAATTGATTAACCACAAAATGCAATTACCTGACTGAACTGATATAATTGTTTTCTATCATGAAGGAAGTAAAAAGAAATAATGCTAACAATGTTTGACTTCCGCTAGAAATGGTGCAAATTGTGAATAATCATTTTCTTTTATAATGACTATGTAAAGACGAATGCATAACTTTCTTCATAGCTTATCACATCGATAATTTCTATAGAAGAATATGAAGATTTTCCATCGACTATTATCGTCTATATTCATATTTAATGCAAGTGAATTTTATCAAATTGTTTTGATTTCGTCTCGAAATTGTTGTGGTAAGTGAAAGGAAGATGGAATTGAAAGCCAATTCATAAAAAAATTCAATACATCGAAAGTGTTGATTAACAATTTAGTTGATAGTAGCACCTTTCAAATAATCAAATACTTAATGCATGTTTTCTCAAAGAATGTCAATGTTCCTTACTGCTGATTGTTTATGAACTTATTATGATTTCCACTTCAGTATTAGTCGAGGCCATTAGTACAAATAAGTTTATTGCATATCAAATTAAAATTGTAAATCTTGATGCCACAACAATAGAGTGCGTCTCAACAATATCCTGACAGGAATCGCTGACAGAATAATGAAAACTAAATGAATAACATATATGTATATAAATTGGACATGAGAAAATATCCATTATACAGGGTGTTAACAAATAAGTGTCACAACGGAAAACTGTAGATTCCTCATGAAAAATGAAACATTTTTTTCCTTTTCGAAATTTTTCTCCGGGCTTCCGTCTTCAAGATACAGGGCGTCAAAAAATTACAAATAAGTCTGTTTTTTGCTCTTATCTCAGGAACCGTTTGAGCTACGGAGTTATGCCTTCGTACACACTTCATCATCAATTATGACTACTTTTAGGGCTCTTGATCAATTTCGTTGGACATGTCAGTGGAGGAGAATTCAACGCCTCGTAAGGGTTTAACCCCACAAACATTTATGCCACTGGAGAAATTATAATTTTCAAAGTAAATTCTGAAGCGCCAATATTTTTCACACAAAAAACGTCCACTTGTCTCAATGCTCTAAAGTGAACAGTTTCCGCGATAAATGGATCTTTATGAATAAGAACATACAAAATCCTGAAAATCTCCAAAAATCGTCTAAAAATCCACTAGAAATAAACACCTCAGAACTGTCTGATAATATGTTCAATAAAATGTCAGGTTCTTGAGTATGCTGGTTTTGATGCTGGTTTTCAGATTGTCAAGTTTAATAAATGTTCTAAAGTGTGTTTAATGAAACTGAACATTTTTTATTTTTTGACGCCCTGTATCTTGAAAACGGAAGCCCGGGGAAAAAATTTTTAGGAGGAAAGAAATGTTTATATTATAATGGGGAATCTACAGTTTTCCGTTGTGACACTTATTTGTTAACACCCTGTATTTCCATGATAATAACGTTGCTATATTCTGGTATTCTGTATCGTTCTGAAGTTATACTATATTAAAAATCTAAAAAATATTGATATCTATCCTTCATAGATATAGATATAATATCGTACACATTTTTGCACAAAATTGTAATTTATCCGTTTTAAATGTGGGGTATTTTCCATACAGGGTAATAGTATATTGTTTAACGAGCACGGAATGATAGTGATTCATTTATATTTTAGCATTCCGTGCAAGTTATACACTATAATTTTTCTACGGCTATAATAGAAACAGCGGTATTTTTGATTTCTTCGTCTTGAAGCCATCTGATTTCCTGAAGTAATGCTGTCATTGCTTGAAATTTGACACTCCCTGGGCGATGAGATTTTTCTGAAATACTAACACAATGGAGTCATTGTGATATCAGATACGGAAATAAAATTGATGGCAAACAAAGTGCCTCATCAGTAAAACAAGAGCAATTTTGTGTTATTGCCGTAGAAAATAGTTATTTATTATACAAGGGAAAAAAGTTGTAGAATTTAGCTCCAGGTTGTGTCTGTTGGTCTTTATTGAATTGTTTATGTGGTGGAGTTGTGACTGTAAGTTCTTTTACCCCTCCTGATTAAAATCCAATAGTTATTTCCCTTCTATAATAAATAGTTATTTATTATACACGGAAAAAAAGTAAGATTTTAGCTCCAGGTCGTGAGCTAAAATCTAATATTTTTCCCGTGTATAATACACTATTTTTTTCTGTGACAGAAAAAAGGACGAATCAATATTGAGAATAATAATATATCACATTATTTTGAAACCTGGAAATTATCGACATGAAATTTTAAGTTTTTAACAGTAGGACACCTGCGTTGTATAGGCATCTTTATCATTCTTTTGACGTAATCAAATATCTGATGTCACTTCTATCAGTCTGATTCTGTGTTTTGATTTCAAAAAATTGAGAATTTAGTGAATGTTTAGTGATATACGTAACCGCGAAGTCGAATGGAAGATAAAATAAAGACTTGCAGTTCTTTCTCGGAGACGGTATTATTGACTCATTTTTCGGAACTATAACACAACAAAAGCCATCAACAGTGTATATATATGTGATATATACCCGGAAAAAAAGTAATTTATGAAAAGTGAAATTTTATAACCTGCCAACAGAGATGTAATGGCAAACTTTTTTCCCGTCACAGAAAAAAAAATGTTTCGATGTCTGTATCAATGGAGAACCGACAATCGAAAAATGCAACAGCTAACACTTCCATGATAATGTTATAGAAAATTTGAATGATAAAAACATTCAATTTATCATTGTGTAGACTATAAATTACACGTATTGTATCATTATGGTTTCATGATTTGGTATACCTATATAACAATGCGTTATGGTCTACTAAATTATTAGAAATTTGTATAGATTGAAATGTGTTGATTATATTGTTTATGAAAATGGTGTATCAAAATATATCGTACGCCATTACAATGAAATATACAGTGTCAATTCAAAAACAATTGAAGGCGATATAGTTTGTTAACGCTTTAATGGAAGTACATGATGTCCTGAACTTGGAAATTGATGGTATATACTGGGTCAACGTCATCCTTTGGAGGGCTCAAAGTCCAGCTCATAACTGATCAGAAAATCATAATATGACCTTTGTAAAATATTCATATAGTTTTAGAGATATTGAGAAAATCATATAAGTGTAAATATCTCCAAAAATATCGGTATTTGTGATGGTGGAGGAGGTGATATTTTGATATTCTGGTCAGTCATGAGCTGGACTATCAGTCCTTCAAAGGATGACGTTGAATTTTGGGACACCCTGTATAACAGAGTTTCCTTTCTCTATTCATAGAAAACCCATTTGAGTACTTATTGCTTCCTATAACAAGCAGTAGGTAAATTTATTATCCGCTTACACATAATTATTTCAATTTTGTTGTTAATCTTAACCAATTTGAGAGACATTCATAACTATTGCAATTTAATATCGGCTTCTATCTGGGAGAAAGCTCAATATCATTATTACTTTTGTATTATTTAACTTGACAGTGATGAATTATTATTCTCGTACTTTCGGTACTAAAGAACCTTCTTCAGTTCTTTATCACTGCTCGCGTATATAGCTGATATTTCATATCAAAATAATAATAGTAGATTGTTTCATTAGGATCAAA